TCCATCATACAGAAGCATGGAGAATACTCCCCCTGAGAGCCCTAGGAGACCGTATGACAGACCTTTTAGTTTCTTTAATTCCTTTAGTCACCTCCTGAAGGTCTCTGGTACGTACGGAAATCTGCAGAAAAATGAAGAAAAGAAAGATAGAGTTAATAAAGAAAGAGCACCTACAAAATCTAGTAGTAATGATCAGCACATAAACAATATAGAAAATATTAATAATGAAAATGTAGCTGCAGAAGAGCACTGCTTGTTTGGTCGTATTTCTACTTCACGTGTACCAGACATCCTATACAAAGGTTTACAGGATGAAATTTCCTTAAATAGAGGTATTCTGGGGGATTATGCAGTTACATGTGACCATTCAAGGCAGAATGAAACAACAGTAAATGTTGAAGACAGCAAGAGTGACAGCCTACAAAAAGCTTCAAGTTCATATAGAGAGAAGTCTCCGACATTTTCCTATCTTGATGTAGATGGCAGACAAAATACAAAAGATAGGGAGTTTTACAGTATTTGTGTTGTAGATGCTGAAGATCTGAAAGGGGTTGAAGAGGTGCCAGCTACTGTGCATGAAGAGACTGCAGCAGACATAGATAACTCAGCTGTTACTGATGAAGGAATGTGCAGCATGGCACGACCTCTAGACACTGGGGAGGAATTTCCAGTGCAGCAATTGGTGCAAGTGGAAGATGAGTTTAATCCACAGAAAGAACTGTTTGAGTATAAAAAAGAGGATAGGGCAAACATGCAGAAAAAGGAAACAAAGGAATATTGTAGCATAGACATTGGATCTTCTTATGATACCTTACTGGCTAACAGGTGTCAGGTGCATAGGTTAAATACTGACAATACAGTAACAGGTGGCTTAAGAGTGAAAGTATATGATGAAGTGGTTCCTGAGAATCCACAAGAGGAGGTATATACCATAGGTAATGCTGTCAGTTGGAATGAATCACTCTGTAGAGCTTGTGATTCTGTGAAATTTGCGAATGCTGCTGAAGAGGACCAATACAGCCCTAGTTCAGAAAAGATGAAACACAATGATTGTATTTCCAGTGTATTGTTAAGCACTAGAGTGTGTAATTCAGGAAAAATTGAGGGAAGTCATGATTCTGATATCGTACCATTTGGTTTAAGTAGGCATCCTTCAAGTGTTGTAAGGGAAATAAATACTAAACAGCTGCCAGAGAATGTGAGGGGCGACTTTAAATTATCATTAGAGTTACATGAGGTGGACAATGATTCTTTTTTGGTGAGTCAACATGTAGAAAAACTTGCTGAAGAGGGCTACTTCTTAAAGCCAGAAAATGAAGTAAACTCAAATGTGGAAAAGAGAACATGTCAAAGAACATATGGTGAGAGCCAAAAATTTGCACCTGACTCTAGTGAACATTACAGTGTTCTGGAAGAATTCTTGAAAGATACAGAGAAATGCACAGGTACAGTCTTGCATAGCTGTGAAGCTTTGAATATGAGTGAAATGCATGAAAACTTGGAAGAAAGTTATGATTTTCAAACTCAGATTAAGGATTGCCCTGAAAACAAAGCATCAACTGAAGTTGCAAACCAGAGTGCCATGGAAGATGATGTCTGTGTGAGTAACATCGTGCAAAAAGGCGACATGCTTGAGGAAGCTGGTAGCTTGGGCAGAACTTGTTCATGGGTAAGTGATGGCACTTTGACATCTCATGAACAACATAACACAAGCACAGGTGAAATGTTCCTAAAGGAAAACAGCCTGGAATCTCAGATTTCACAAGTGTCACCAGGGAATAAAGGTAAAGTATGCAAATATTCAAATTCAGATAACAAAAGTAGTATCTCCTCTGTATCTGTGGAATATAAGGATATGAATAAAATGGACATGAACTATAGACAGGATGAGCAACAGGATGTATGTTCCTTCCATGCAGTGGAAAATCAACGGAATGGGGAGACTGACTCAGGCAAATTAGCTGGGGATGTAGTAGAATCTGTAAGACAGAAAAAATTTGAAGTTCACCTAAACAAGACAATTGATGACAAGGCAGAAAATATAAAACAGAATTTGAATGCTAACGTTGTTGGTAGTGATGAAAACATCTTCGATTGCAGTAAAGGCTTGGCTTGTGATCCGAATACTTACTCTAAGTCCACTGTACCTGTAGCTTTGGACAATTGTATGTACAAGAGTATAAAATTGATAGATGACACTAAAAATCTGGAAGATACCAATAATATCTTCCATAAAGCCCATAATTGTTTGCCTTCAGTGTGTCACAATTCATATTCACATGTGCATGATAAAGTGGTGGAAGAGCCTGAGTTTTGTCACTGTGCCAGTCCAGAGCCAAAGGTCAGGAACACCCAAGTTTCTGTTGGGCCTTTTACTGAAGTAGGATCAGAAACTCATGAAAAAAGTATGTGTGATGTAAATGAATATAATCTTCAGGATGATGAAGTAAAACAGTGTGTCAGTGTCCACTCAGAGGAGAACCTCACTGACTTTAGTATGTCAACTGGAAATCTACAGGCTTTTACCACGGGGAATTTAAAGCAGTTAGAAGCCAAGACAACTGATCTAAAAAACACCGATTACATATTAAATGCTCAAATGAATGACTTGACCACAAGTTGGGAACAGATGCAGTCAGATCACAAGATTTTCTCAAAGAGCGAGCTTGGAGTTTTTGTTGACCCAAAGCAGGTAGACAAATATGCTGCTACTCCTTCCTATGAAATACACAGTGCCTCTGCCGGTGCCGCAGCGTTTCAGCGAATCAGTGAGCGGTGTGTATTAGATCTGACAGAAGACGTATTGAGTGACCGAGAGCACTCCTATGAACTGGACAGACAAAATCCCCAAGTTGAAATATGGTCACATTTCATCAGTCTTCAGACTGGCAATGCTGATTGGACAAATCAGCTATTTTCTGACACCGTTACTGCTGGTAATGGTGGATATCTGATGAGTTTTTTATGGAATAATACGATTTCTAACAATACTGTGAAGAATGACAGACTCTGTATAGTTAGTGAAGACTTCCAGAATGAACCTGAAGATTTAACTGGTGCTTCATATGTGGTGGGAAAATACCCGTATCAGCTGCTAGCACCAGAAAACGTTGGTACTTGGGGATGGCAAGATAAAGATGAATTTGTAAGTATTCTGTGGAAGTGATTTGATGTTAAAGCTTAAAGCTGAGCTAGGAATTGGAATAAGCGAAGTCAAACTGTGGTTTTGTTAGATAATATATCATATGTTATTTTGTCCTCAAGCTGACCACTCTTTCCTTTGCAAAACCAAATGATATCCAGAATGTAGTAGTTCAAAATGTTGCTGAACATTTATATATTTTTTTCTTTTCAGTTCTGTCTACTTTATGTGAAAGTGTACATGTTGGGAAAAGTATCTTGATTGCAGATTCTGAATTCTCGATGAACTTGAGATGAACACTTCAGTATGTGGAAGGGAAACTTTCTACAGACTTAATAGTGCTCTTTACCTTCATCTAGGAAGAAATGTTTGTGAATTTCCTGAAATCTTAAAGTTCTTGCATGGTAGCGATTGGGAAACCTTTTGCTCACTTGCGGAGACACTTTTGTGAAGTGCTGTGGAAAGGAGTGGCTGCAGGAGGAGCGAGGGGCATGAGCTAGACTGGATCTGGGCTAGCTGGGCTAAGGAGGAAACAAAGCATGCCGGCGGGAGCTGCCGCTCGTCTTCCTTCCCCGATGAGCGGAGCCGGCGCTGGGGCTGTTCTCTGCTACAGCAGCTGCTCCGACCCTGCCCAGCAGTTGCAGTGCCGGCAGTGGGTTGTACCAGAGGCCAGGCTGGCTGTCTCCTGGGGGAACTTGTATTAAAAATGGAAACTAATGGAACTTGCTGTCATCTTTGAATTGTTACGGTTCAAGTAGTTATGTTGAACACTTCCACTTTTGATAAGTCTTTTCTCTATCCTGCAGTAGATATGCTTATAATGAGATTATTTAGATCTTTTTACTTTCTGGATGTGTTTTCTGTGTCCTGTGATAATCCCTGTCTGAGTGCATGTGTTTCAGAATGAATAAACTTTGTGGAGTATTGAAGTGCCTGTCTTAAACTCCGAAATGTTCCTAGGGTCACTTTTTTTTTTAATAAGCTTTTTTAGTATGTGTTATCATGAGCAATACTCTTTGCCAGTATAATCATCACATTAAAACAAACCAAAGATATTTGGGGTATGGAATAATTTGATGCGTTTTGCTGCAAAGTTAGCAAAACACAAGAAAACTGTCTCATGTTACTAGCAAAAAAGTATTGCAGGTGTTGGTACTACAGAGAGCAATCTCTGAAGCATATATAGCCATTTATATAATGGTTATATATGACCATTAAAAGTGTCCATTTCCAATCCAGGTTAAAGGAAATTGGCCTAAGATGATTTAACTGGGTGTAGTAATTCATTCTTGTTGTCCTGGCTAGGGAAAAACTAATGTAAATTTTTGTTAATGCTCTGTTTTTTCTCTCGAAGTAATGACAGAAGTTATTGTGCACATCTCATTGCTTTCAGTTTTCCATAGTACTTCCTTAAAATTGTTATAAGTGCAGATTTTCTTATTTTCTGTATTTTTTTTATATCATTTTTCAGAAACATACAATAACAATATAGTCAACATTGAGTTAACCTATATACTAGAGAACTGCCTGAAGTTCAAGTACTGAAGGGCAAGTACAGGTTGAGTTAATCTGTCAAAGGCAAAGAATGAAATGTTTGTTATAGTTTGCTCTGCTTGGCTAGCGTTTTCTGATGATTCTTAATTGTGGAAATTAATGCTGTACTACACAATTTGGTCATTTTTGTGCCCAAAACAATTACGGGATGGCAATTCAGTTAATATATTCAGATGTGAAAAAAACTTTACAGTACAATCATGAGCTGTACATCTGATAGTGTTATTTGAAACTGTACATATATATGCACAGATGTGTGCTGTGCATCCACAAAATGCATAATCAAAGCATTTTCTTTTTTTAGGAGTCAACCAAGGTTTCTGAGTTAAACCCTAATGCAAAGGTGTGGGGAAATCATATGTTACACTTGGAAGCAAGTGGTGCCACTGATGGTAGTGTGAGCAAAACGTGGGAAGAAATACCTGACCAACCTCCAGATTCTTGTAAAGAAGGTATGGATAAGAGTTTCTAGTTGTTGCTCAACTAAAAGGTATAAAATTCAGTGCCAGACTTTCTCACTTCTAATTTCTTGTTAAATGATTGAAAGTATGTAAGCAACTTTAGATTTAGTTTTAACTGTGTTACTGTGATTAGAAGGAATGCTTTTTGTGTGTGTGTGTCATCTCTGCTGCAGGACTGGATGCCAATGGTGATGGAGACAAAAAGCATCAGAATGCAGTGCTGACAGAGCTGCCGGAGCCATCACCAACTGTTTCGGTGTCAGACCAGACAGATATGAACCCTTTGGCTCTCGATCATTCTGCGTATGAATCTATGCATGAAACCACCCAGACAGGTAAGAGAAAGATCATAGTTGCTTGGACTTGATTAAAAAAAAAAGAAAACATATTTTGAGTTGAACAGTGAGCATCCATTAAAAAAAGCCGCACAAAAACCCAAACCAAAAAAACTATACCACTTCTGTTGTTCAGTATACATGTTCTGTAAACAGACCCCTGAAAATCCTGTCTTTTTTTGCTCTCAGGCTTAGACGTATTTGGAAACCAGTCTTCTGTTTGAGTATAGGCCTTGTGAGATATTGCACAAAAATCTATCATAAATTCTGGATATAATGGAGTATTGTTTTCTGAAAAGTTTTTCTGAATGCAAGGTCCTAGTATAGACGTTTACATTTAGGTACCTACCTGTCTAAGCTGCATGTTTCTAGTTGGGTCAGTTACTGAGGTCAAACTCACATAACATTTGTCTCAAGTAGTAATGTATTGAAAGATCAGTCTTGTATTTAAGATGCTAAAATAAGCAAGAGTTTCGTCTTAACTTCTTTGTATTCTTTTTAATGAACTTCTATGATTTTTTCAGTGAAACTGTTAGTAGCTGTAGTCTATACCAGATTCATGTTTTAAGAAACTTCTGGAAACTAGTGTAGAGATTCAGCCATGCTTACATTTCACTGAAAGGGACAGAAAGTCTGCAAGATGCATGCAGGATTAATATTTGAACTGAAATGAAGGATGGGAAAGAGGAAAATGTGCTGAGTTTTTCTTGAGAGTCATTAGAGGTCTGCTCCTTGTTCATTGTGCTTAGCTGATTTTATAACATGTATTTAAAATGACCAGTGTAGTATCCATAGTAGTTGGAAATCAAGACAACACTGTTGTGGCATCATCCTTCCTTGTGTTGAAAATTGAAAGTTGTCTTTCACTTACAGCTACTATTGGGGAATATTAAATACTAAATAGCTGGCAAATGGAAAGTTATATTAATGGTGCTTAGCGCTCTAGAAGTGACCAGTGTTCCTCGGCTTAGTGTTAGAACTTGTTAGCATGTCTTTTATGTGCCCAAAATAGTTAACTTTTAACACGAGTCAAATAGTGTTGTAGAGCAGCTGAAGAACAGGTCAGATCTGTTACACTTGATGAATAGTAACATATCCCAACTCTGAAATGTCATTTTTTTTTTTTTATATATATATTACTTCTATTTTAAAAAATGCATATAATTTTGATCTTTGCTGGGTTTTGGACAAGGAAGAAGGTGGAGATGGGGAAGGGAAATAGTGGCTAGTACATGATATATGTGTTTCTTAGGTGTTGGCATTATCCACATCAGAATAGAACACGTGAAGGACAAAACGGTGGGAGGAAATTAGAAGTTGCTTTAGGAAGAAGAAAGGTTAAGGAGAGCTGAAGAAAAGGATGAAAGTTACTGACGAGGGGAAGGGTATAGAGGGTAATAGTTGGTGTGAAATATGTTTTTAAAAAACTAATTTATAATTATGTAACATGTTACTAAATGTTTTATAAATCCCTAAAAGCCACACTAAATGCCTGATCTTTAAACAGTTCTCCCACTGACACAAATGGTTTACCCTCAACTGACTGTAGTATATTGGGTCTAAACTAAAATTAACAAGAAATTAGTGTTTTCCATGTAATAGGTTTGAAACTTCCAGGTATAACAAAGAAAAACAAATTTCTCCTTGACCAAGATTGTTAATTGACCACACACCTGTTTTTAATTGATTGGATATCCGCTGATGTTTCAAAAACATAGTTATGAAATTCTTTTTTCTAAAGTAGTGTGTTGGGAATTTAGAGTGAGGTCAGAAGTACTAAGTGCCTTCATTACATTACTCACTTGCTGTATTAGTCAGCTACATTAGTCAGCATTCAGTCAGCTAGAAACTGGTCAGTTTCCTAAGGCTGTAAGACAGATGTACAAGCTAAGTCAGTGCCGTATTTACTTTGAGAAGTGTTTGTAGCTGCTCTTCTAAAACTGCGTCAAATTTGTATTTATTTGGAGAACAGAGGTTAACAAGTGAAGTCAGACATGGTTTTTCTTTTCTGCCTTAAAAAGTGTTTCTGTGCAGTTTTGGTGGGTGGTGAACTAATATGCAATGAACACTCTGAATTTGAAAATTTGTTACTAGTTATACAGCTAGTAATAGACATGGTGGCTTGATTAAAATATCTGTTATGTAATATAGCAGAACTAAGTTTTAAACTTAAGTATTTTAATTATTAGGTGGAAACGAACAGTTGCAGCCAGAAGGTCAGGAAGATTTACGAGAATCACTGAAAAAAACACTGGAATTCTGTTTATCTAGGTATGTATATACCTAAATGTAGCAAACTGGAGGATAACTAACAAGATCCAGTACTTAACTTGGGATGTATTTTAATGTATTTCTCAGCTGTCACTTAAAACTGAGTGGAAAGGATGAGAATTTGGGGGAAGTAACACACAGATTCAAGCATATCATATTGATGTATGTCTTAAAGCTTACATGAAACTTCAGGGCATAAAACATAAACTAGCGAATATATTGTTTTGAAGTGAGAGTAGTTACAATCAGCTACAGATGAGGTGAATTTTTATGACTCTTAGGGCTTTTTTGTTTTGGTGTGTTTTTTGTTTTTTTTTTGTTTATTTGTTTGTTTTCCAAATTAAAACTGAGTAACTTAAGCCATTTGGTAAGCTTTAAGCTAATAATTTTAAAATTTGCATCTTTAAGCGAATAATGTTAAAATTTGCAATTACTCAGGATTTTTGTATGTGCATCTGTAGATCCCTTTATATTTTAAGCTAAGGATCTGTAGATCCCTTTATATTTTAAGTTCAGGATCAATTAAAAACACAAAACTAAAAAATTGAGGGCTCTGAATCATACATATTCCAGTGTAGACTGATGCAAGATCATCAGAGCAGTTTACTTGTACTTATCTACAAACAAGCACTGAGAATAATTAAAAACATCCTAAACACATGTCTTAATGGCCTAGAACAATTCCTAATCTGTATACTCCTGCATAACCAGTTAGTCAGTGGTCATTTGAAGTAATAAACTTGTAACAGTGTTACATGTTTGGGGGGATAATGTGGTGCCTGAGCAGAAAGATGCCAGTACTGTTGCATGAAGGGGAAAAAAAAGACTTCCATGGTTCCTAGGAAGTGAAATATAGTAGGTGAATGGATCAGGGAGTTTGTGAAAATACTGAAAATAAAATTCAGTGTAGGAATCTGCCTTTTACGATGTGAATTTGTCTCAGCTTTATTGGTGAAAGTTTACATCTGTGACATTTCCCTATTTCCTTTTTTTCTTTCCCAACAGAGAAAATCTTGCCAGTGACATGTACCTTATATCACAGATGGACAGTGATCAGTATGTGCCAATAATGACAGTAGCAAACCTTGATCATGTCAAGAAACTCAGTACTGATATGGATTTGATTGTTGAAGTGCTGAGATGTAAGTAAAATTCCTTCAACACTAGAAACCATTTTGGTTATTGCTGTAGGTCCGTTAACCCGGACTTTCCATCTCTTCCTTTTTTTTTTTTTTTTTTTTTTAATGTATCACAATAAAATGCCATCCTCTTCTGTAAAGCATTAAATAGAGCAAGCAGGTTCCAGTTTAGACCATCGCTGCAGTTTTATCAAAGCTACTTCACATCTGAGATACTGAGTAATGATCTGTGTAAATGAGTAATGTGAGTTTAAACTGTGGGTCAATCCACAGGACTGGAGGATAGCAATGGTTGGCTATAGGCTGTTTTGTAAAAACAGGCAGGGAGGAGGAGTCGCCACACTCTGTTAAGGAGAACCCTGAATATATAGAAGTCAACTATGATGATTGTGGAAACTGTATCTAATGCCTCTGGATCAAGATCAGAGAGGTAGTGTCCAAGGGCGATGCTACAGTAGGCATCTGCTACCAATCTCCAAATCAGGATGGTAAGGCCAGCGAAGCAATGTTTGGGTCACTTAAGCAAGCTTCTGGTCAACAGACTCTGGTTGTTATGGTGCACTTCAACTAGCCAAACATTTGTTGGAAGAACAATACAGCAACTCACATGTCATCCATCAAGTTCCTGGAATGTGTGGAGGACTGCTTCCTCATGCAAGTGCTAGATGTGCCGACCAGGAATGAGGCACTGCTGGACTTGCTACTCACAAACCAAGAAAACCTGCTTTGTAATACTCCAGCTAGCAATAGCCTTTTCTTCAGTGATCACAGTATTGTAGAGTCTGTGATCCTGCTGAGCATGCTGAAGGATAGTACTAAGAGGTTTTAGATTTTAGAAGAGCAAACTTCAGCTTGCTGAGAGCTCAAGAGGGATTCCATGGGAAGCTTCCGTGGAGCATAAAGGAACTAGGTGAGCACTGTGAGTTTTTCAAGAACACTCTCCTGGAGGAAAAAAAAAACAAACAAACAAAAAAAAAACCCAAACCAAACAAACAAAACAAAACAAACAAAAAAAAACAAACCAAAACAAAACAAAACAAAAAAAAACAACAAAAAAAAAAACACAAAAACAAACAAAACAACAACAACAAAAAAAAACCCAAAACAAAACAAACAAACAAACAAAAAAAAAAAGTTTTCCCCTTAAAGGTAAGGGAAGTAGGTGGAGCAGGAGACCCCCCTGGCTTAACTGTGAGCTTCTGAGTCTGCTCAAAACCAAGAGAGAAGCGTACCACAGATGGAAAAGCAGCCAAAACCCATTGAGAACTAAAAGGGCATTGCCAGGGTGTGCAGAGATGCAGTTAGAAAAGCAAAAGCTCAGTTTGAATTGAAATTGGCCAGAAATGTCAACTACAAGAAAGGGTTTTTCAGGTATATAAACAAGAAGCAGAAACAGAAGGAAAATATTGGCCTGCTATTAAACAGGGGAGGTGAATTAGTCACTAACAATGCTGAAAAGGCAGAGGTTCTGAACACTTTTTTCACCTTTGTCTTTACCAGCACTGTTGGGCCCCAGGCCTTGGGAACAAAAATCCAGGTTGATGCAAATACAGACCCACTGTCAGTGAAGGAAGAGTTGGTATGTGAACTATTACAGGAGCTTGACCCCTACAAATTGGTGGACCCTGACAATATCCACCTGAGGGTGTTAAGAGAGCTGGCTGACATTGTTGTGAGGCTGCTGCCCATAATCTGTGAGAAGCTGTAGAGATGAGGGAATGTCACCCCCATCTACAAGAAGGGCTTAATGGAGATTCTAGGAAATGATAGGCCTATCTGTCTTCAGGCCCTGGACAAGTTCAGGAATGAATCCTCCTGGGGGCGATCACAAGTCAAATGGTGCACAAGATTGGGAAAAGCCAGCACAGATTCACCAAGGGCAAATTGTGCTTGACAAACCTGATTGCCTTCTACGACAGAGTAACTTGCTTGGTTGATGTTGGGCGAGCAGTGGGTATTGCCTACTTGGATTTCTCTAAGGCTTTCGATACGGTTCCCCACAGCCTCCTCCCAGAGAAACTGGTGTGTTACAGTCTAGACAAGTGGTGTGTGTGGTGGGTGGGGAACCAGCTGTCAGGTCGCACCCAGGGGTGATGGGAAATAGCTCCTTTTCAAACTGGCACCCTGTCACAAGCGGTGGCCCGTAGGGATTGATACTGGGCCCAACACGGTTTAATATTTTTAAGTGATCTGGATGGTAGGATCAAGTGTACCCAGATGAAGTTTGCTGACGATACCAGAATGGGGAAGTAGATACTTGGGTAGGGAGGAATACCTGGATAGACTGGAAGAGTGGGCTAACGAAAACCATATGAAGTTCAGCAAGGGCAAGTGTAAGGTCTTGCATCTGGGAGAATGTAATCCAGGAGTGCAGTACAGGCTGGGATCTACCTGGCTGGGAAGCAGCTCTGTGGAAAGGGGCCTGGGGGACAACAAGCTTAGTATGAGTGAAGCATGTGCTGCAGTGGCAAAGAAAGCAAACAGGTTGCTCAATTGCATCAACAAGGGCATCACCAGCAGAGATCAAGTCATTATCCCACTCTGCTCAGCACTTGTCAGGCCACACCTGGAATACTGTGTTCAGTTTTGGTCCTCACTATGCAAAAAAGCTGTGCGGAGGCTGGAGAGGGTCCAGAGGAGGGCCACAAAGATGAGCAAAGGACTGTGAAGCCTGCCATGTGAGGAAAGGCTGAGAGAATTGGGTTTGTTCAGCCTTGAGAAGAGAAGGCTTAGGAGACACCTTGTCACCATGTTCCAGTATTTAAAGGTTGGCTGCAAAGAAGATAGAGACTCCCTTTTTACAAGGAGTCACATGGAAAAGGCAAGAGGTGATGGGTACAAGTTACTCCTGGAGAGATTCTGATTGGACACAAAAGGAAAATTTTTCACAATAAGAACACTCAGCCACTTGAATAATCTCCCCATGAAGTGGTGGGTTCCCCAACGTTGGACCCTTTTAAGATTCAGCTGGACAGGGTGCTGGGCTATTTTGTCTAGACTGTGGTTTTGCCAAGAAAGATTGGACCAGATGGTCCCTGAGGGCCCTTCCAACCTGGTATTCTGTGATTAAATTCTCAGAAAAGGCTAATGGATGTTACCACTAAAGTAAGAATCAAAAAAGAACATGACTCCATGTCTGCCTTAGAAGAAAAAGCTAATGAATTGGGATTTTCTAGGCTGGAGCGGTAGGAAGAGTTACTGTAAAAAGCCTTGCATTTTAAAACAGTGCCCACAGCATCTTTCAGGGTGCAAAGCTACCATGATTGCTGACAGCTAAAACACACTGTCTTTTCTCTCTTAGCGTTGCCTTTAGTCCAAGTGGATGAGAAGGGAGAAAAAGTTAGGCCAAATCAGAATCGCTGTATTGTGATTTTACGTGAAGTACCTGAATCTACCCCCATTGAAGTAAGTGTTTAATTGTTTGGTAAAGAATGCTTTTCCCTTATCATTTGGAAGTTAGATTTTGTCTAGATTTCAATAAACATATCACATTTCTTACTACATTGTTAGATTCTAACAGTGCTTCTAAACCTTAGTTTATTGTGTGTGTTGGCATAATAAATATATTTGATAAAAGCATGTTGCTCATAGGAAGACTGGTAAAACCTGTAGCTCTGCAGAGGGCTGAAAAACTGACAGTATTGTTTGGTAGAAATACCATAGCTGGACTCTGGCTTTATCCATGTGTACTTAGCACTCAGCTCCTTGGATAAATAGCAAATGAAGATGAGGGAAGGTAAGTCTTAGAATGGAAAATGCCACTGCTACCCCTTGAAGCTTGTTAGGATAAGTATTTAAAGCTTTGCAAATATTTCCATAATGTCAACAAGTTGTTAAGGATCTCCACTGGTTTGTGGAATAAGTGGAGAACTTGAATCTTTGAAAGATATTCAATGTAGCTTTGATGTTGCTGGGACTGTGACTAATGGAAAGACTAGAAAAAAAATGATTGGGCCATAGATTAAACCTTGAATTTTCAAAAAAGAGAAGGCTCAGATTCTTGATGATGAGTAGATATTTTTAATTTTCTCCCTATTTAGTTTTACAAGGAAGAATAAAGATTCTGAAAGAGTTGGTGCTTTTGATAGTCTTCATACAAAAAAAAAACCCACCATAATGCAGTTTAAAAACTTATAATAAAGTGGCGGCCTTAATGAACAGAAGCATGAAACAAAATGCTAAAAGAAATTGGAGGGAAAAAGTTAAATATGCTAGATACAAAGCTTAAATATCATCTGCATTTAGTTTTCTAAATGAATTGTAACCTTTCAAAGACTGCCTAGCTTTCAATTTTACAGGGTTTTGGTGTTTTTCTGCTTTCATCAGTTTGCCAGGTTGGATATATCAGCACTGGGTGGTCACTTTTAGATGGTTAACAACAACAATGTTCTGAGAGTCTTTATTTTCAAAAGAGGTCGTCTGAAGTGTTTTATATGTTATGTGTTTAAATTTGCCAGACTGGAAAATCTAGACCTAACTGGTAAGATTTAATAGGCTATGTTTTCTGGTGTAGCGTGGTCAGGCTTTATTTAAGCAGCAAAGTTTCAAAATACTGTAAGGCCTCCTAAGTTACATTGTTTTTTGATGCTGATTGCCTCAACTCTGACAAAAATAAATAATATGCAAATAGATTAAAGTAAATATAAAGTCCAAGGTGTGTTTTTTCTGTAGAAACTAGCTGATTATTTTTGATGTAGCATAATCACAGTTTCAGATATATTAGTCTGTAGACTCTTAAGTTAAAGTGTATCTCCAGGTTTCTGCTGAAGGGGTGGGGGTTCTCCTATCTTATGCAGTACGCACAAATTTTCATGTGGTTCTGGGGAAAGGGGAGAAATAGACATTTTTCCCACACTTGATGCCAAATTTAAATGTGTCTCTATGGCCTAAATAGCTTATCTCCCCTGATTTAAAGGGAGCAGGCAACTTCAACTTGCAGTGTGGCCTTAGATGATGCCTGTTTGAATTCCTTCTAGCTAGCAGGCAGATTGGAGTGAGCTAACAGTACTGCATGTGTTCTGCAGTTTCAGGTCTGTTTTGTAAGCCTGAAAGTGTTTTATCTTTCTTACTTGGAGTTCCAGAGTTCTGCACTTTAAAATTGATGTTTCCTTCTGTCTGCCCATTTTTTTTTCTCTCCCACCCTTTTCTCTCCCTTCTTATCAAAACCATTTTCTTTAGGAGGTTGAAGCACTTTTCAAAGGAGATAATTTGCCTAAGTTTATCAACTGTGAGTTTGCCTATAATGACAGTTGGTTCATCACGTTTGAATCAGAAGCTGATGCACAGCAGGTAACACTTTTCTCAAAGCATTTTAGAATATAACAGTAAAAAAGGGTGGGGTGAGGGCAGATTGATGTGTTATAAACTGTATGACAAATATGTAACAACTTAAGAAGAAAAATACCCAAACCTCTAAAACCAGTAATGCTTCCCCTTAACTAATATCCAGGTATCAGTACTACTAAACATAACCCTGTAAGAGTTTTATCTTGTTTGCATATCCTGGCTTCCTGGCCAAAGCTATAATTTTTGGTAATAAGAACACTGATAATTTGGATGACACATTGAAGTGCTTCAATTATAAGAATTAAAATCTTGTTTTAATGCTACTGAAGCACTTCTGCAATGAGAACATAAGTCTTGCTGAATGCAGGTTATATAGGAGGATTTTCTATAGTCTTAACATTAGCAGACATTTCAAGAATTAATGTGAGGCTTTGCCTGTCAAAATTTACGTTTCTTTTGTTTAAATTATATTTAACAAATTTTATAATTACTTTTTTAAAGGCTTACAGATATCTTAGAGAAGAAGTGAAAACTTTCCAAGGAAAACCGATTAAGGTAAGTAGAACTTGATGGGGTTTCTAGTGCATGTCTGTATATGTTCTGTTTTTTTGTGTGGCGCTCTGTGTTTTCTAAGATAAATTTATAAGTGGTCTAATCTTAGCAGCTTTGACCTGGAGATGGATTTTGAAATGTAGCACATGCCATTTTACTTTTCCTCCTTTCTGGCAGTGGTATATCCATCCCAGCTTTAGGCCAGCAGGGCAGCATTCAGCTGTTCCTGCTCTCCTCGAAGGAGAAATCAGTGACTGTTAAGTGTCCAGTAAAAGTCTGAGAGCTGCTAGTTTGAATCATCCTGATTTAATTTGAAAGGCTGCTGTAATAAATAATCTAATCTCCTTTGCAGGCAAGGATAAAAGCAAAGGCAATAGCTATAAACACATTTTTGCCAAAGAATGGATACAGACCTCTGGATATGAATCTCTACACACAGCAGCGTTACACAACATCCTTTTACTTACCTCCGGTGTACAGTCCTCATCAGCAGTTTCCGTTGTACAGCTTAATTGGCCCACAGACCTGGTCAGCCACGCATAGCTACCTTGACCCTTCATTGGTAAGTCTCTTGATTATGAAACAGTTGCATTCTATTTTGAAGTTGGTATTATTTTCTTATCAAGTCTTGAGGCGTAGGAAGCATATGTATCCTGAGGAGGGGAGTTTAAGGTACTGATTCTTCTTGAAAAACAGTTCTTCAAAATTCTTGCCACGGTGTACAAGATAAATTACTTCAAAATTGCATGTGATCTCAGACTCCAGTGTTGTTCTTAACCTTTTAGTTTTTGAAGTAGTTCTTTTTAGTAAAAATTATTTATTAACCATTACCAAAAGAAATCTTTACTAAAGACTTCTTTTAGTAACGGTTAAAAGCCTCTGTAGAAATTAGATCTCCAGAAAATGTACGTGTATACCAGAAAAAGCAGTTCTGATATGCAGGGAATAAACTTAATGGAATCAGATAAATAAGGATAACATAGTATCTTGATCTTCCAGGAGGAAAATAATATCTAGGTTAACATGCTGAATTACCCTATCCAACACGTTCTTAAAGCAAAGTATTTTATGTGCGAAAGTAACATCTTTTTTGGCAATAAAGAATAAAATTACTTTTGCTAATAAAAATAATTCACTTTAAAATTGCTTATTTTAAAAAATAGTAAGGGGGCTGTGGACAAGCTTTAGAGCTAGTGTGGTAGCATTAAGTCTTTATATTCTGCAGTGGGACATCCGCTGTGTGCTGCAATGCTGCTTCCATCTCCTCCTCTACTGTGACAGTCCCATCAGAATTACCTTGGCCCCTTTTAGTGTGCCTTTGTTATCCTACAAAAACTAATATGAATATAGTTTTATTTTAATAACTGGGAGACTAGTGTTTGTCCTATGTGGAACTTCTTTCTCCCATCTGTAAATGACTTTACTTGCAGCTAAAAGAAACTAGGGTAGCAATGCTCAAAATCAGAACCTTTTTAGAGTTTTTTTGGCAGAGGATTAAAGTGTCCTTGAACAAACTTGAGCAAACTTCCTGTGTACTGAACAGCAAGCTAATCAAAAAGTTGGTGTGCTAAACACTTCACACACAGGGAAGGTAGCCAGAGCTCTTGCAGGGGAAGGCTTTTTGAGGAGGATGAAGAATGCGGCAGAGACAGGGTAGCTAGCATAGGGAACATTATTCCAGGAGGAAGCCACCTTGTTAAGGAGCAATGAATGTGATTGTTCCTTTAGATAAACTAAGACTGTCTGTTGCACAGTCTTCCTGTGGGATAGTGAAGTAGTTGGATGGCACTGGTGTAGATGATGCAGATTAATTGGCTGCAGGTTCAAGTACAGCATAGTCTCTATCTTCATTATGTCATCCTGGAACTTTTTGTATTCCGGAAAGTTTACTAGTCCTGGCCTTTGGGGGAAGACATTGCAAGTTTGCCAGCATTAAAGATGTCATACCTTTCTTAGTAAAAACAGAAAATTAACTGGCAGAGCTTTGTCTCTACTGTTTTGCAGCATATTGTCATTGGTTGGCTGCATTCTGTGTACGTTAGTGTAATACGATGTTTCTTGAACCTTTTATAGGAAGAGCTATATTTGAATAGAAATTACTTGTGAGGAGAACAGGGACCATGAGGAACAATGACACAGGAATAATTTTCATGAGATGGGGTTGCAGTTTACATGTAGAGATTCGTGTGCAAATACAGCAGAAGTTTTTCTCCCTTTCTGCTACTGCATGAACGCTAACAGTGCTCTGCCTCATCTCTAATTTGAGATTAAATACACCTAGTAGTGTGGGCATACAGTTTTAGTTTTGAAACTATATATGGCAACACATGTTCTAAAAATTCTAAAACTACCTACATCATCAATTACTTCAACTAGATATTTCATAAAATACTTTTGTCCTACTTGTTTTTTAAAAAAAAGTGTACTTTTGATGAGCCAGATGACTTCTGTGGAAAAAGTAAATTGATGCTTTTGGTATTAGTGGAAAATGAAAATTACATTATTTTTTTTCTCTACCGAAAAGGTCACCCATCCTTACAAAGAAAGAAGGGGTGAATATTACTAGTGTCCCTTTAGGCAATGAGTTAAACTTGTTTTCCTTTATGTTGAATGTCTTCTCATTATTCAGGTTCGGTAGTTGCTTACTAGCTTTGATTTAATTTTACAGCATTCAAGTTGTAACTATTAAAGCAGAAAGCACTTCAAAGCAGTATTTTGATGAAATGGTTCATAAAATAGCTTTATTAAACTCCTAATGGCCTATTTTTGTAATCTTAGCACATGACAGTAAATGCTACCTAGGTTAGGCTAACAGTAGTTTGGCATGACAGCTCTGGTGAAAAATTTTATTTTTTATTGATTAGTGATTTGCCTTAACTTTTTGCAAGAAAGGTTAGTCAAGCTTTAAGATAACTGTAGGAAATTATCTTAATCCCAGCTGTTTCTCATAATTTAATTAAGTGTAGGAGTGCTACATAGAAGTCTTAGTGTTCTGCATTTTAGTTATTTTCAGGGGGAGAAGACAAGCAAGTATTTGCCGTTGCTAATAATATTTCCTAAATGAAACTCATTCACACACTTTAAAGAAAAAAGTGTGCTAGTGAGGTCGGAGAAATTACTATGAGCATGCTTCAGATTTTGAGATATCTTGCTCATACAAGACATTGATATACACCCACCCGCAAAAAATATTTTGCTAATGTTGCTTCTTCAGGCAATAAGACAGTAATTCACATGTAGAATAAGGTGGTAAGATGTGAAAAGAATCAGAATTCCACTTAAGATCTGCTTATTCTCGAGGCTTTATTTAGGTGTCATGTGGAAGGTAAGTAGAATGGGGAACTAAAAATTTTATTTTTTTTCTTTTTAGGGAAGGATTCACCTATAAATTATAAGAAAAAGTTACAGGCTGTGTAGGTTAAAGGCTGTTTGATGAAGTACCACCTCTGTACTCTGAAGTCACGCATAGTATGGTGTGAAATAGAAGTGTAACTGCCAAGAATTTTGGCTCAATGTTTTTCAATCCCCTCAAATTATCAGAACTTGAATATGTGTAGTGGCTGTCTTCTCAAAACCCAGCATTTTCTAAGTGGGTTACAAGGCGCTGGACAAATGCTCTATTGCTGTTTGAGCCAATCTCTTAAGTACTGACCTGCATAGAATAACATAAAATACAGGGTTAAGAAAAAACAATACGCTGTTTATAATTATGGGCATGCAATATATTCTTTAGGTAACACCATTTCCAAATACTGGATTTATCAATGGGTTCACATCTCCAACCTTCAAGCCTGCTGCTTCTCCACTGACCACACTCAGACAATATCCTCCCAGAAACAGGCAAGTTCAACTATCTTTTAACAGTATACATACTATTTTATTATCTGACATGTGGGGTTTGAATCTGCTTATTTTATTAAAACCAACTAGCTTGAAAATACGTGTGAAATTGAACCTAGTGCAAGGTTAAGTGAGGCTGAAGTGCAGGTGGTGCTATTGTTAGTGGATGTACTGTTTCTAAATGTACATGGCCAGTCTGAAAGCTGAAAACTTGTCAGTTCCATGATTTAGGGTATTCAGATGAAATATTGTGAATGATGACATGTGATCAGCAGGCTTATTCATGTAGTATTTTCAGTTTCAAGTAGCTTTTAGTAAAGCCATAGTTGAAAATAGACAGTGAAAAGGTTCTTTTTAACAGGTCCTGTGAATTATCACAATTAATATTTATCATTCTTACAAATGAAATATACAACAAAGGACTAAAGATCTTGCTTCTTCTGAATTCTATGTATAGACTAAGGCCTCAGAAGATCTCTCATAGTACGTATGTTGAAATGACTTTTGAATTTGTAGGAATCCTAGCAAGTCTCATATACGACATACAATACCCAGTGCAGAAAGGGGACCTGGGCTTCTAGACAGTCCTACAATATTCAACTTTTCTGCTGATCGTTTAATCAATGGCGTCAGGAGTCCACAGACGCGGCAGCCGGGACAAAACAGGACACGGATGCAGAATGCTACTACAAGTTATACCAAGAGGGAAGTAGGAACTGGACGGATGGAACAGACCAGTGTTGACTCGTCTCCTGGATTGGGTAGAGGAAGGTGAGTGTACTCCGTAGTTGTCCTCTGAACAACCTGATATTGCCGCTTCTAAGCTACTTCTTTTAGTAAAGAGGTATGGTACTAGTACTTTTCTCATTACTGTTTTAAACTGAGACTGTCTCTACTCAAAGCTAAAATTTTAGTCAGTACTCTAGAGAAAGTACTAAATACAGAAAAAATGCGAAGTGGACTTGCGTACTTTCCTACCAAAAAACTGAAAATCAGTAATGGCAGCTGATGAACAATTTACAGCAATAAAATCTAATCCTCTATCCTTTCTTCATCTGTTATAAGACAGTTTTTGCATATTATTTGCTTGACTTTAATGAAGCAGTTCTGCCCATTCCATTGTTCAGCAGTGTAGATTGTGCATCTGAACCTGTCCTAGTGCTTATTGTTAATCTTTTCATTTGAAAGATCGGAATTTTGCCCAAATGAGGTATTTAGAACAACAGAGGTGATGCATTAGTATGGAGAGAGGAGAAAGTATTACATGCAACTAAGAAAACAATTGTTATGCAGTTTAAAAAACAAACAAAAAACAACACCTGGAGAGCTGAAAATTAGTGGCACCACTATTAATGTGAGAGTTTAACAGTCTCACCTTGGAATTTTTAAAATACATTACAATTCTAATACGTGCTTTATAAAAGTACTCTGCAACTTTGTTTAATGACAGCTGTGTTTGTGTCGTCAGGTAAATGACATTTTGAGTGACTTACTGAATTGGAAGGTAACTAGTGTCGCAGATGATCCTGTATTAGCCTTGTATTGTATCATTACAAAATTAAGTGGGGATTTTGTACAAGGATTGTAATACTTCTCTAAATTTAATTTGCCAAATTGTGTTATAACTAGTGGATGAAAATATGACTAAGTACATAGGAAACAAGATTGCTCAAACTATAGGCTACAAAAAATATACAGGAATAGTCAGTACTTAGTTATATTCTGATTTTCAGTATTGAATACATTCAGAATATTAAAAGTCAAACAGAAAACTTAAAAGATATATAGAAACCAAGTTAGAATGCATTGCAAATTTTAAACTGCTGCTTGGAGGGACTTTACCTGAAGCAGGGTTGGGAAAGAAGCACCGAAAATGTTTTGGAGGGACTTTACCTGAATTGAAAATAGCCATATTTCAAGTTACATATGTATCACAAACAGAAACAAAACAAAAACAACAAAACAAGCACAACCAAAACAAAAAGACCAAAACCTTTTCTTTGGATATTGAAAGGTTTTGTCTAAGCCTTATATATAATCAGCACTGAGATGCTTTTAATGTAGGAATTATTTCTAACCAGTATATTCTTATGCTCACTTATGTAAGATCCGTACCTTTATTTTAATGAGAGCTTGCTAGAAATTTTTCCCTAAAACATTTTTTTAATAACGCTTCTAGAATGAAAATGGATGAAATAGCACTTTGAATTAATTTCTCCTGTTTTCACCAACTGCCTTCTGTTCATTTATGGGCAAGGTTCTGATAACTGCTTTCTTTCCCTCAGGAAAAACTCATACGGCTACCGAAAGAAAAGAGAGGACAAGTTTACAGTGAGTGTACATGATTGTATTAATCTATAATAAAAGTAGAGTAACAAGGCAATAGTATGGATATTATGTGGAGTAGCAGGTGAGATAAGTTATTGCACAAGCAATTGTATGTTACAGTTGACTGAAGATAGCAGCCCATTAGAATCACATGAGTTTATTGCATTTGGGTATCAGAGAAGATTGTCTGTTAATGAAGAAGTCAGGAAAAAGTTAAAATTACTCTTTAGTAGTAGTAAAAAATTTCTATCGTATTGTCACTTTGTCAGTTTGCCAGTGTTCATGTTCAGGGGGAGCTAAACTAACGAATTACTTGATTGTTCATGTAGATATTGAAGAATATTTTATAGATCCATGTGTCATAATGTATAGCTAGAATGTTAGTTAAGTGGTCAGTTCTGTTTCTTAAATGCCCCTCCAAGTACCACTTGGTAGAGGTACACTAACACTATTGAAATATTACAGTTTTGGTAAACTTAAATTCAAGGTGAATACCTAAATAGCCTTGATACTTGAAAAGACTGGACTAGACATTGCGTAGAAGACAAAATACATAATTTTTCTTTGTAGCACTTACGGTTTGATTTGATAAAACCAGCACTTCGATGCAATTCTTTCTTGTCATACATGGCATGTTCATGAAGTTAAACTGGATTATTTCCTTATTCATGTCACAACTGCAAAGTAACCCCCCACTGCATGAGCCATAATATTTTCGTAAAGGTCTGGAATTGTTGCATTTTTGTATTTGTGGCTCCTGCTACCAAGTAGCCCTTAGGGAACTTGAATAAAAGAGTATCAAAGTTTCGAAATCATAAAACAACATGTGGTTCCTTCTCTTTGGTTGTTTTCACTTCTTGTTAAACTTCTTAAAGCTCAGTGAGATCAGTTTACATGTAGGATTCTCAGTACTTTTCTTTTGCTGTTTCAAAGTTCTCAAATTTTTAGACTGATGTTTTCCTATCAGTGTTTTCAAGGAAGTGGTACAGGTTAGGCGTTTGAGTAGCTGGAGTCAAGGGATTATCTTGGACATTCTTACTAAGCAGACAGGCTCTTCTGACTCAGCTGACTTTAAACTTTATTTTAACTTTGAATGTAAAACTGCTAGGTGTGACTCCTTTGGAGACCCATGGTTCCCTTCACTCAGCACCAGGCTTTAATTGCAGCCTGTGCAGCCCAGTTCCTTCTACTCTCTTCTGGCCCATGAATCTTTAGTCTGTACTGTCCAGTGATGCAACTTGAGCAGAGATGAGAGCTGCTGCACACCCAAAACTGTGTACACTGGAAAAGGAGCATACTCTGAAGTGAAAGATTAAAATTTTACCCCTTTAGACTATGGAAGGAATTGAATCCAGGATCCTAGTTGTTGTGTGGTGATGTAGTGATTAGTTAGTGTATGTAGGACATCACTACAACCAGTTGTATTTGAATGGACTGACGACTTGTTTTGATTTTTTTTTTTTTAATGAAAAATTATAATGTATGTGTGCTTGCTTGAGGAAGATCATGAACCTTTTTTGATCAGATTGTATCTGAGGCTATATACATAAGCCAATTACTCAACTTGTTATGACAAGTTGACTTGAGAAATTTTATGCAGTTGGCAGCTTAAAGTTGACTCAAATCTTTCCCTGACCTCAATTTAAGATGTTAATGCTACTTGTCTCTTAGTATGTTGGGTTCTTTAGGACTCATCTGTGTAACGTAAAATGTTTGTAGCAAATATAAAAGTGTTATCCATTGCAGGACTTCAGTCCCCTTTAAGAAAACCAAGTTCTAAAGGAAAAAATGAAAAAAAAAAGTTGTTCCTCTTGCAGCTTGAGCCAGATAAGTGTAGTATCTTAGTGTCTCTCCATGAGCCTTTGACAGGTCATCTGACTTATCTTTTTGGAGGTTTGCGGCTTCCATTGCCGTAGTACTCTTAAACTATGTTCTGGTAGGTAACGCTGGGTCAGTAGCAGTGCTAGGAGTTGCAGTTGTTCTTGCCTCTCTATGTATTCTTCCCTACTTCCCCCATGACACATACTTATTTTGACATAAACTGTAGTTTGTGGAAAGACCTCAAGGGTAGTTTTGTACCTATTGCTCTTCATGAGAAAGAAGGGGGGGAAAAAAACAGTAACACAACACCTTTCTGTCCAGAAGCAATGTTCTTCCTTTCAGACCATCTTGGCTATATACCCCTAAACATTTTTCTTTTCAAAATGGGAAGCATCTCAAAGACTGCTTTGCATTTGGTGTTCTGCAGTGGAGGTCATCTTAGCACAGGCCTGAGCACTGTCATGAAACAGTTACTTCTTTGTTTATATGATGTAGATTAAGTTAATTGGTAACTTTAGTTACAGCATATTACAAAAGGAATTTTATTTTTTCAGTGTAAATAGAATGTAGCTTTACAAATCCTTACAAGCAGTCTTTACAAGTGATCTTTAACTGTGGTGCTCTTAACTACTGAACTGCTGTCTGTAGTGCAAAATAGTTGCATTTAGCCCATTGATTTTTTTTTAGCCTGGGACGCTGTTTTTCTTAGAGAAATTCCCCCTGTTTCAAAAGTATTTTTGACGTTTATCTTTGCATTTTTACAAACTGACCATATAAATTCATATTAGATGAAAATTGCCATTGTCTACACTACATGCAAGTCATGATGTCTTGACATTTCTTAATATAATTGAACATGATGTAAGATTCTTACTGACTCCTGTCTTTCATTTTAAATGTTACCAGCTGTACATAAATGGGCTTTATATTTTCGCTATTTCAGGATATCTAAACCAGTAAGTGTCCATCCCGAAGGAAGGCTCAGTGAGAAGTATTTTCTTACTCTACCAGTATCATTAAAGCTTATGCATATGAAATCTTTAAGGATGCTTATGCCGTCCCATTTAAATAATAGTTAAATATTTTAAGCGCAGTGGTGGGAACTGAAAGCCTCTATTCCTTGGTACTGTGTGGTTTTCTTGGAAGGCAGTATGGGAGAGGTCTCTCTAGGGCTTCACAGATAATTGAATGCAAAATAGAGTTTAGAGTCCCACGTCCGTCTTTTCTGTCATCAGTGCAGTAATCTAAACCTGTTATTTCTATTCCAGAGAGGCCAAACACAGTCTCCACCACCCCCAAAACCTCCATCTCCTAGTTTTGAATTGGGTTTATCTAGCTTTCCTCCGTTACCTGGGGCTGCTGGCAATTTAAAGACCGAAGACCTCTTTGAAAACAGACTATCCAATGTGGTAATAGGACCGTCAAAAGAAAGAGTGAGTAGCCAGTGTTCATTTTTGTTGGGAAAACAAAGAATTGAATACTTCTTGTTTTCATATTTGGTGGCTTATACCTACAAAAAACTTGTGGTTTTACATGCGTCACAAGAAATTATTTTAAAAAGCATCTGTCAAATGATGTGCTGCCGCTGCCTTCACTTATATCTTAGAATTTGTTGGGTATTCTCTTCAACATGGTGTGGAATATGAGCACCGGTACAGGTAGATGTTAATAGTGGAGATAAGAAAATATGCTCTTTGCTGTTCATAATTGCCTCAGGGTTTTTGATAGAATCAGGTGAAAAGTATGTGATAAATATTCCTCCTGTTTGAAAGTCAAACTTCTGAGTGGTACATAAAACACTTTAAAGTGACAGAGACAAACTTTCAAGCACTGAAATATAAAGAAGCTGCTTACATAATCTCAGTACGCTAAGCATGATAGCTGGAACAAGAACTGTTACCAAAACCAGCTGGATCCCAGTGTTGTCTTGTCATATTGCTTGGAAAGATAAAAATATACCAGAATGACTTGGCAACCACTGCTTTCTAGATGTAGTAGAGATGCAGTTGAAAATTAATGTTCAGTAGCTGTTCATAGATTTCATTCTTAGAACTGTCTTTACCATGCCATCTGTGAGTGACAGCATGTTCTCCTCCATCAGGACTCATACAACCCTGTGCACTGTGGAACAGTCTGGGCTATGGAAGCCTATATTGGCTTTTTTTACTAGTTCTAACTTCAGTCTTTCTAGCTGTACCACACCTGCAGAAGTTAACCCCTGGATAGAGCAGTGCAAAGCAGCCTGATAAAACACCTAAATCTATCATGTCTCATCTCTAAAACCCATCAGCTGCAGAAGTGTTTTCTTCGGTGCCCACGTATCAGGGGTAGTCAGGGGGAGGGTATTTGGTAGTCTTGGTAAAGGAAAGAGGAGGCAGCAGGGCAGCCTGCACCCAAAGCAGTGATTGTGCAGAGAAGCCATCTATTCTGCCTCCTGCAAGGGGTAATAGGGACAACTACATTTCAGTGCTGTGGTTAGGGGGAGTGTGCAGGAAAGTGCCACGACAAAAACAATGTTTAACTTGCTGTCAGCCAGTACTCCAGATTGCAGTCTGTTCTTGGCTAAGATCTATTTTTAAAGTATTCTATCTCTAATATTTCTGAAGTGTTTTTTGACTATTGTATTTCAGGTTTTAATTAAAATTCCAGCACATGCTATTGATATTGCAGCTGAAAACCCATTGCTTGTCCTATTACCAGTCTAGTACTTGCTTTGCACTTTACCTCCTGTAAAGAACTTACACTTCTCCCCTGTAAGGGCAGTCTTAATATCAGTCAGACACTGAGATTTTATGGTAGTGCTATGTGCTGTCACATTAAAAAAGCTTCCTTTGATTTCCCAATTTTTTTGTTCTGGCTTGCATGAGTTAGTCTGTATCATTGTGTGGAAGAAAGGGATTTTGCTGTCTTTTCTTGTTGGTGTTAATAAGGAATAACATAACAGCAGCTGGCTCCAAAGAGCAATTGTGTTCTTCTACAAAGGTGTTTGAGTTAATGTTAGAATCTTGCCAACATATACAGGCAGCTTTTCACCATGATATCAACATTTTTTTGTCACGTCACCTGATGTAGAGTTGCCCATCTATAAGACAAGAGTAGCACTGTGTAAGTCCAGTGTACAGAAGCTCACTGACCTTAGGTTGTATAATTTCCGACAGTTGTTATCCAAGCGTCATACCTTTATGCTCTTTGCTTTGTGGTGCTCTTCCAGATGCAGCTCTGGGGAATGGCAGGTGTTAATCATCCCACCTTTTCTAACTAGGAAACTGCAGCACTGTCAGGTCAGGGGCTGAGTGTTTTGGCCTAGAAGCAGCACTTGCACATCTGCTTGGCTTGAAGCTATTCACACTTAACCATGTACTTAAGGTTTTGATGAACTTGGGCCAGAATGCTTAGCAACTTGGTATTTCAAGCCTTTGAACACACTATTACAGTGAGTAAAACTAGAGAAGCTGTTCTTTTATTTCTAAACATCCACCTTTTATAATTTTACTTTGAGTAAAACTAGGTTAAGATCTACTGAAATAATCTATGCTGCCTGATTTAAAAGAATGTCATCAAAAAACGTTTTCCTTTCTAACAGAGACCGCAGGAGTCTCATTTTTTTATGACCTTTGAATGGTGGCTGTGGCAGAGGAAAGATGTTCCTTGTTCCTCTGTGCTTGTGTTCTCCAATTGCTTTTCCTTCTGCTTACTGGAATCTGTTCTGGTTCTAAAGTTGGACAGGCCAGAAGCAATACAAGAAACATAACATGCTTTAAAACAAACAAAATAGTTATAAATGTCAGAAATATGTTTTTCAAGATACAGAGTTGGTTTTCTCTTTCCTTATTCTGTAACAATTTAAATTCACGTGTGCATTCTGAACCTATTTGGCCTTTATCGGGAAGCACAGTATCACTTGGCACTATCAGAATCTTTTGAGGGCTATGGAAAAAGCCTCTTTTGCTTGGTAGCAAATCACACTATAGCATAAGAAAGAGACTTTAATAAATGATGGTCATGTCCTAGTTTGCAAAAACTTCAGTGTTGTGCTTTGTTTTGCTTGGTTGTGTGTTTTTTTTGGTTTTGGTTTTTTTTTTTTTTTTTTAAGATTAGGTCTTTTTTAAGCACCACCTATTGGGAAGATGCAGTTAAAGCTTTGAAGATGACAGTTCTTAGTGCATAACTCTAGGAGACTTTTGTCCTAATTAGGCAAACTAAGAATCATAGAATGGTTTGGGTTGGAAGGGACCTTAAAGATCATCTAGTTCCATCCCCCCTGCCACAGGCAGGGACACCTTCCACTAGACCAGGATGCTCCAAGCCCCGTCCAAGCTGGCCTTGAACCCTTCCAGGGAGGGGGCAGCCACAGCTTCCCTGGGCAACCCGTTCACCACTCTCACAGTGAAGAATTTCTTCCTCATAACTAATCTAAATCCACCCTCTCACTTTAAAACTGTTACCACTTGTGCCATCCCTACACTCCCTGATAGAGAGTACCTCTGGATCTTTCCTGTAGCCCCCTTTAAATATTTGAAGGTTGCTATAAGGTCTCCCTGGAGCCTTCTCCAGGCTGAACAACCCCAACTCTCTCAGCCTGTCCTCGCACAGGAGGTGCTCCAGCATCCTGAGCATCTTCGCGGCCTCCTCTGGGCCTGCTCAGGCAGCTCCCACACTGAGAGCTCCAGACCTGAACGCAATACGTGTTTGTGAACAGGCACAAAGCCTACTTTGTCACCAGCAAGTGCAAAATTCTCAAGTTGAAAGAAGTGATTTTTGTCATCCAGCTATGTCCCAAAGGGAACTAAGCTTCCAACTTTTTGGGAAGGAGCCATAGTGTGTGATGTATTTGTCTGTGTTTCTAAATAATTATAAAGGAAGAAACTTATTTGTTACAATACATATGTTGGATCCTTCTCTAATTTCCTGTAGTTAATTTACCCTTATAAATCCACTTGTAAACTGCTTCCTGACTGTGTTAATCTTCAGGCAAACCATATTAACTGAACATTATGATTGCCCTTCTGTGTCTTTTTTCCTCCTTCAGAACATTAATGTGGATGCAAGTACAAACACTATCCCATCGGGTATTCCTCGAGAGCCATTGTTGCCAGTTTCTTCTACATTGCCCAGGACGTTTGAAAGGTCTCCTTCGCCATCCCAGTCTTCTGAGTAAGCACTTAATTAGATGGCTATAATTATTCTGCTCTGACTCATGTTTGCATTTTCTATCATCAGAAGGCTAGGTGGAGCACTGTAAATAGCTTTTAAAATTTTAATCAGTGAAAGAAATAATATCTTATTGTAACTGTAGTAAATGCAATAAAGCTTAATTTCTGAATAATATCATAATAGTGACTCAGTCACAATAGTCATTCAGCAGACAAAAGTTTAGTCTTGTGTTTTTGTGTCTGCAAGTATTTAAAAGTTTAATAAATAACTTACTGCTTTTTATGTAGATAGCCTTGAAGCATAGAGAGTAAACCCATGATGCTGTGGGCAATAAAGTTTTCAGTAAGACTTTATTTGGAACCTACAAACAAAATTGAGGTGTTTGAGTAACAGAAGTAAGATAACTGAAGAACCAGTTGCTATCAGAATGTCACAAATTACAGGTAGTCAAAAGTTCAACAGGAATACCTTTTTAAATACTTGATAGCATTTTTAAATGCGAGCCTAGTCATAACGTGCTAGGCAAATTATAGCTATAACTTCTTATAGTCATAGCCTAAGTTTTGGACCCATTATTAGATCATTCATCCCCAAGTTTCACTTTTCATGAGCCTTGCTTCCTGCTGGATGCTTACAGGGACTCCAAGGTTGTGGATAAACAGCAGAGAGAGACACAGAGTACAGAAAGGCTTTCTTCTTCCACACTCAGTACTGCATGTAAATCGGTACAAGTCAATGGGGCTGCCATAGTAAGTGACCTTATTACTTCACTTTCTCTTGATGATCCAGTTTGATGCTTTTAACAAAATATTGCTTCCATTGCTACTCAGTGTTGCTTCATCATATGAGCTCAGCATCCTTAAATTTGCCTGTTGGTGGACTCATGATTACTTGCGTGGTACAATTATGCAATTAACAGTACAGAAGTGTTCAAGATAACTTGGTGAATGATAGCTCTTTATCTGAATTCTCTTCTTGGTAGTATCGTTGATGTGGAAGCATTAATACATGTGTTGATATTTAGACCAGAGTATTCATCATCTTTCAGCTATTTTAGAGTTTGCTTGAATCAGAAGTATTTTGCCCTATCATAGTATCCCATTTTTCTGGCATACTGTTCTGCATTTTACCTTGTCTTGAACCTTGTTATCTGTACAGCTTCTGTAAACTTCATACTCTAGCCTTCATCTGCATGTTTTAGTGCAGCAGTCTTTTGGGACAAAGGCTTTACCTTTTTTGTTTATAAAAGTAAATGATTTTTCCTCAGGATGCTTTGTTTAACTCTGCTTTCCTGTTTGCTTTCGATTTTCACAGGAACTGCGAAAGCCTAGCTATGCAGAAATTTGCCAGAGAACAACTAAGGATCCTCCTACATTGCAACCCCAGAAAGAACAGAAGCCAAACACTGTAGCATGTGGGAAAGAAGAAAGAAAGCCCACAGAAACAATAGAGAAAAACAGAGAACCTCCTCCTGCGAAGTCACATCCTGGGCAACCCAAAGACCAGAGGAGACAGTCAGGACGCAGATCGTCCCCTCCAGCCGTTGGCAAACGCTTAAATAAAGAACAGAATACCCCTCCAAAATCTCCTCAGTGAAACTAACACCTAGGAGGGATTCAAAAAGAGGTCTGCTTCCCACAAATTAAACCCATGTTCCCACTAAGATATCTGAGAATGAGTTGCTGGTTAGGAGCTTGCAGTGATACTAGGCATATAACAATGCCTGCAAGTTATTTTTCTGTGAAATATTTTCCCCTCTTGAACAAACATTCTATTTTTTCTGGATATTTCTGGGTAGTTGTTCTAAACCTTACATTTAGGTTGGTGCTTAATTGGAGGTGAAGCTTAGTGTGATTATTTTTTTTCAAGATGTAAAATATTTGTCTTTAAAAAAAATCAACTTTTTATTAAGCCTCTCTGTGGCTGTGTGAGTGCAAGCTCTGTATAGTGAGTTTTTTCTAAACTGTTAAGCAGAAATGTGCTGCTGCAATATTTTTAATGAACTGGTCTGCAAGTACATATCTAAAGTGTCCAAAAGACTGATAACGGCAGCTAGTGTGTAGAGTGCAAGGAAGTAGATATATTTTACAAATTAGTACGTGACCTTGAAGATTTTTTTTTATTGGGCTGCTATACTAAGTGTCAGCAAATGAACTTGCACTTTTAGGTTAAAAGAGTAGTTGTTTCTAGCATTTTAAAAAAAACTTAATTTTTTTTGATGTTTTGCACACACAAAATGAATCCTATGGAGCACCATAGCAGTCTTCTAAAATACTTCCTTTTTTGACTTACTGCAAGCAAGTAACCATCTTCTCACTCCAGAATAAAACTGATGTTATAATTTGCAAATACAAAGCACATTGTGAATAGAAAGGATTAAGTCTGTGAGCTTCTATGGTGGTGAAGCCTGTTAGTGGATGTTATCAGGAGAAAGCACTGTAGCCTTCTTGTGATAACCTTAGCTTCCCTGTGCTTGTAAGGGAGTTAACTGAGTCAGCGCTGTATGTTCTGGTTACCCCTGTGCTCTGTGTAGACTTTTTTTTTTTTTAAACAGCCCCAAGTGCTCTTTGAAAGAGTTCATATCTTTAGTCAGCCTTGTGTTGACATCTTCCTGTAACTACAAGCATTGGCATACGGATTTAAATTTTTTCAAGACGTGAGATAATGGTGTTTGTTTTGTGTGGTGGAGGAAGAGATCCCTGATACTTACCTCTGGGATGAGGTTTCTCACACTTACTTACTTTAGAAGTGATGCGCTTTCTGAAGGACAAGGATGCACTAAATTAGCAAGTTTCTAATAAAGTTGAATATAAATTATTTTTGTTTTAAAATGCCTAAAGTTTTTCTTTAAGTGTTTAAACTGCAGGAAGTTCAGACAAAACTCATTCCTGCTGACTATGACAGTACAGTTTATTCCACAAAAATGTTTATTTAAACAACTGATTTTTTTAAAGAATTATTTCCATCCAATATTTAAAGACTTGAATTTTATTTAAACTTGAAAATGACTTTGCCTTAACTTTTGTACAAGACAGCTTAGAGTTAATGAGGTCTGACCCCGTGGAGGGTTAGTGTGAGTGGAATACAGAATTACTCAGTTACAGTATGTATCTATTGTCACTGGTCTTACTGGGTAAACATACTGTAGTAAAGGAACTAGCAGCAGTTTTTTGTAATATACCTTAAAGATCTTAAACAGTTGATCTTTTTCAGATTGTTGAAAAATCTGTAAATGCAAATAGTCAATACTGTATTAAATATGTGCACTTGGAAGTGTGTGCTTTGCTTGTACAGTTGTAAATAATCAGAACATATAAAAAGGTACCCTAAAGAAAAAAATCTGATAAAAATTATTGATATTATAAATGTTGCTGTTGAGCTGGATGTAGATAAACTAAATGTTGTGGTTTGAATATTACTTTAATTTGTTGGTTTTTCTTTTTCTTATTTTATTCTGGTGTGCTGAACTGACTCTGCCTCTTCACTGCAAAAGGGAAATGGAACGAAAGTCTTATTTGAAAGCCCTCAAATGTTTTCCTAAGTCCCTCTAAAAACAAGTGATTTAACCAATTCAAAAGTGTTCTGCAATGTAAATAGTGAATTTCAGCAGTCAAACTGTAATTTTAAGTCATTAATAAAATAAAATCTAATTGGAGAAGACTTGACTGCTACAAAAATATACACTGAAGCTTACTTGTCTGCTTTCAAGAATATCAGTGCTTTCCTTAGTGTATGATTCATAGAACTGTAAAGTAACTATAGAAGTTGACTCCTGATAAATTTCCTATTACAAGCATCAATTGGTAACTAGTTGGCCTTTTAAATCCAGCCTGTTGTATGCTGCAGAATTGGTCAAAATAGGGCATGCTGGAATCTGTTGATTTTTCTCGTTTAAAAAGCGCACTTTGAATGCTGTGGGAGGAGATAGGACTCTGACATCACCAAAACTGCTCAACTAGTTCTATCATCAGATTTTTAATATGCTTCTCCTTTCCCCAGTGGCAGTGAAAATGGTGGCTAGATTTGTGTATGGTTTAGGCCAGCTGTATGATTCATTTTGTTTGTCTGCTGCAAGTGAAAGGCTTACCAGCTGCAAACAATCACAAGTGGTTCCTTACAGCGACTGTGTACAGCTAGTCATAATACCCAACTGGTACCGAAGGTAATATATTGAGACCAGCGGGATGTGTTGTGCTGTTCTAATGTATTCTGCTGCCATTTGTGCTAGGTCAATACACTGTAATTACTGCTTACCCAGCAACAGTCTGTTGCATCGAAAGTTTAAACCTTCCTCTGATGTGGTTTTTATAGCTTTTTTTAAAAAGAAAAAAGTGACACGCCAAATAGCTGTGTAATATACAACTTATTCTTACTGCATTTTACTTCTGGGTTTTGTTTTTTTTTGGTTTTTTTTTTTTTTTTTTTGTTGTTGTTTTTTCCACTCAGTGACAAAATGGAGTTTTCGGAGTAGAATTGTGAAGTTGCATGCAGACTGTTGCTACGATACATAGAGAGATTAAAATGTGGCTTTTAAAATTAAAAACCTCCCAAAAGCAGTAGCTGAGTTAAAATTTCAGGGATACAGTAACTAAAATTGGCGTTTTACCTTGTAGGACTCTCTGGTGATGCTTTTCATTTTGAAAACAAGTCAAAACGGGATCTGAGACTCTTCTTCCAGGAATTTAAAAAAAAAACAAAGATTGCTTTTAATACTTAATGTTGTTTCAGATCACTCCCCCACCATGAACTGTCACTTGCCACATAGAAATCTGTGAATTGTGGCAAATGTTTTTTATGTTGCTGCATTATCCTTCAGAGACTTCAGCAGTTGGCATAGAAAGGCCCTTGTTTGAGTGTGCTGCAGTGTATCACGAGCAACAGCTGAGTGTAATGGTGCATACCTATCTCTGTATCTCCTTCAGCTAGCTACAGTTAGGGATTTTTATGTGCTTTGTAACCTATTACACTAATAGCAGCAGACAATCGAAGATTTCTAAGGAGACCTAACAGCTGCCAATTCATGAAATAGAAGTGTAATATGGGAGCCTTCTTGAGGGTTTTTGTTTTTGTTCTTCTTCCATTAAGACTGGAATCAAGCTTACATGTAAACTATCAGTAATTTAAGTTTCATTTTGTGTCATAAAATGTAAAACTGTCTAATTTGAAAAAAAAAAACATGTAGGTTATGAAAAATAAAGATTTAGGCACTGTTGATTTCCTGATTTTTTTTAATTAAACTTTTCTTCAGCAGTATTTTTCATTACCTTTTTGTCTCTTGCTCCCATTTTTGGAAATCGTATATTTCTGATTTTGGGAAAAAAATATTTGCTTGCTTTACTGTTCAGCTCAGCTGTTGTAACCATCACCTAAGGCTACATGCAAGCCTTATGTAGCAGCAGCAAGAACACCTATAATATAACTCTGAAGGCAGCGATATCTATCTCTATTAGGTAATTACGACTGGTTAACATTTTTAAAAGAAACAAAAAAAAAGCTGATGTGATGTTTTGTTTACTAGAGGTTATCATCTTCATTAGTGGTTTCTTCAGGTTATTAGATAAGGTGTTGGCTTGGTCTTAAACGTGTATTTTAGCATTTGGGTTAGTGCTTTGGTTGCAGGGTTCTTGAATCCAGAGATGTCCTGGGATTATTTTTGCCTATGACTGGTTTTAGAGGTTATCCTGGTCATGCCTCTAGGAAAGAAAAGCTTCTGGGATACCCTCCCTCTAAGTAAAAGATCTATTTTGGAAATACTTTAAATACTTTTTTTTTGTTTGTTTAGGTTTTCCTCTCAGCTATATCTGACCAAGTTTAACAGTGGACATAAGCACGGAAGTCTTAACAATTACTGTGTTTTATAAGCATCTTGAGAAGTGTTGCAGTATTATTCTTCAGGCTGGATGTTCTATAAGCTTCTGGACACGTTAGGCTGCTTCCTGCTTTATTTCATCCCTACTGTCTGCTCAGCAGAGTAGGGCAATACAGGAATACCTGTGTACATTGGGCACTGCAAGTTTTCTGCATGTTAGAAAAGTCAGTTAAACGTTAGGTTTTGGTGGTGACACGGGCTACAAGTAGTTGAAGACAGCCAGTTTTCACTTCATGGAGTATCCTATTCTGCACTTGGAACTCAGTTTTCTATTAATTAACATGTAATAACACAGGGAAATTTGTCAGCAATGTTGCCGTAATTCTAGTGTGGCTCTTGAGCGCCACCCCAGCTTTGGCAGAAACCAGGAATTTATTCGTTCATGCAACAAAATTCAGCTGTTTCCCCTTGTGCTAGTCTTCCCCAATACAAAGGTATGTTTGATGATGGCTGCACTAATATTTATGTTGCACAAATTGGTTTGTTTCCTCTTGGGCATAAGAAGAAAGAACGAATATGGAAGATCACATGCAATTGAATATCCAGGGGTTACTTATTGTCACAGAAAATGTGACTCATTGCATTTTGATCATAAGGCTGCTTTAGAAAAAAAAAAAAACCCAAACCATTTTATGAAGTTTTAAGTTTTCTAATACGCTTTTACTTCACAAACCTCTGGAAGCTAAAACCTCCTATTCTGTTGATTATCACGACTAGGCTTCTCTGAGTGCAACCACTTAAGTCAGGGAAGTGGTTGGTTTTCAAATTTTGCTGGTATATAGGTGGGAGTAACATTACCCACTTCATCTGCTTTTGAGAGAACAAGCTGTGTAGCAGCATAGACCCCTGGTGCCATCTGGTTACAGTAGCTCAGTTACTGCACCATCTACTCAGTATGGATTATATATCTTTCATATATTTTAATGTTCGACTTAAGTTGATCAAGTAGAAATCTACTCCTATTGAAGTGGTGCATGGGACACTCTTACTGAACTGTTATGCAAAATAAGCTCAAAAATGCTGTGAAGAGGCTGGCCTGCCTGAGCGGTGCCACGTCCTACCAGTCTGTCGGCTCCCTCACCTCAGCACACTGGCCTGTCTGGAAAGTAACAGGGAAGAGTTTTGTTTGTTTGTTTGTTTTTTTTAATAGATCAGAAGTTGGATCATCAGCAGACTGGAGGAAGGGACAGGAATACGCAGTCGGTGGCCAGAGGAGACTGGCATGGTAATGGTCCTGGCAGGGTCAGTGTCCTAAATCAGCTCAAGCAAACTGAGTATTTGTACAATTAGCTTATGATGAATGGAAGGTAAAAGGTCTTGGTTTAAAAGTAGCCTTGCTTGTTCAGGTGAACATGGCTCAACTTACCGAGCTTGGTCATTTTTGAGCTGTATTTTCACATTGGGAAGAAGGGAGGAGAAAGGGTCTGGGGTTTGCTTTAGCCTTTTTGGTTATTCTTATGTACAAGCTGTAAATGTGCTAAAGTAAAGCTTAAATCTTTCTCATGGTGTTTAATTATTAGAAGTCTCTGTGCATCATCTTGTCACAACTGTTTTGGGAGCAGTTCATTGTTTTGTAAAATGGAGGGCAAAACGTCTGTGTGCTGGGGGAAGGGAGTCCAAGATAAAATCGCCCCCCTAATCTCTTAAATTCTCATCAGTTTGAAGAGCAAATTGCTTTCTCTGCTTGTGTTATGCACGCACGGTGCGGAAACCATCCTGCAGTCTGATAGCTTTACATCCCATTTACTGTAGGCAGATGGTGTCTGCAGAGTAGTAAATCTACCATGGCTAAGGATGCTCTGAGGAAGTAGCAATAAATTGATGAATTTAGAGTTGTAAAACAGACCAAAGCTGGAAAGATCTGTGAAATCTACATGGATGGAATTATTGATACCTAATGAAACGTGTCTAATGTCTTCCAGAACCGGAGCCAAAGTCGTATGTGTGC